ATGTTTCCAGAGGATTCCAGAGGTCCTGAACATACCTTCAAATATGTATAGAGTAAAAGTAGTAAGTGAGGCCCAAGTCCACCTTCTTTATTTACTGTGCTTTCCTTGCACAGATCAAATTCAATTCTGTGAAAGGATACTGACCCTCCACTGCCAAAGATAGGTTTAATCAAGGGATTGGGGTTTGGCCCTTTGATCTCAGAGACATGTTACGGAGTCATGGTTTTGGGGCCATGCGGTCAGGGGTCAGGAACATCCTAGTAGATGGAAGGAACCATAGAGGGGCAGAAGCGAACATGTGTTGATGGAAATTTGGTGAAATAAAGAGCAGATCACAAATCATGGGGTCAGAATTTTGTGAAGGTGTTGGAATAATTGGCTTCAGCTATATTGAGAAAAATAAAATTGGGTCCCTACTCCCAGTGCGTTAAAGACTCAAGGTAAAATAATAGAACTAAAAGAAAGATCTCATAAAGAAGGCTTAAAAATCACAAATGATAAGGGGGAGAGGTAGATATTTTTGACTATATCAAAATGTAAACTTTCTGTTTAACCAAGGAGGAAACTATATAGATAAGACTGAAAAATGAAGAAAATGTTTGTAATAGCTAAAGCGGACATGATGAATAGCTAATATAAAGTAATAAATGTTCAAAGATCAGCAAGACAAATTCAAAACACCCAAGAGAAAAAATGAACCTGACACAAGTGGGCAATTTGCACACGGTGAGGCCAAGGGGCCAGTGAGCAAAAAGGGCCTTGGCCTCACTAATAACCAACTATGTGCCAACTCTAGCTGTTGTGGAAGTTGGGGTATCAGATATTTTGGCTCTCCAGCCACCCTAGAAGGCAAAGAAGGAGTTGTGAACAGTCTGGGTTGGCCAATCTACACTCCAGCACCTATACATTACTTAAAGGGCCATGGTGCATTTGCCCAGAGTAGAAGACTAATGTCAAAGTCAAGGTTATAAGAGCCAGTTTCACTGGATTCTTTGACCTAATTGTACCAACCATCTCATCAATATGGGTAAGAGGTTAGAGCAGAGAAAGCTCGACACAAGCTTATTTCTGCTTTGTTTTTGTTTTTAAAAAATTTTTGGCACATGCCCTGGTGGGTGAGAGGCATCATTTCCTCTGTTCCATTGCCCTTTTCTGCCCAGGCACCAACTTAAGTGTATTCATGAATCCCAGTTTACCTCTTATATATGTGGGTATATATGTATCCTTGACATAGATAGTGTTGTTTTCTATGTATGGTAACTCACATTATGTTTTTAAGATCTACCCATAATGCTGTATATAAATACAGATCATTGCTTTTATTTGAGGCAGTTTTCCACTATATATAGTGGAAAATATATATATATATACCACATTATCCCTATTCATGGGCACTCAGGTAGCAGAGCTTCTCTTTACTACGAACAGGGATACCATGACCCTCTTGATGGCAGAGTTCTCTGGTGTTTTCTCCCAGGAAAAGAATTGCTGAATTATAGCTGTGACTGTTTTACTTCCTGATAAGCACTGCCAGACAGAAGCCCCTCCGGAGGGCTGCATGACAGTGCTGTGCTTTCTAGTGTGGCCCTTCTACCTCCTTAGGCACTAAGTATGAGTCCCTCATCCTGTGAAAATCTCCCTTGGAAACACTTTAAAATCAAAAGATGTGACAGTGTGAGGGAGTACTAGAGTCACAATAGCTGTAGAAATGCTCTGTAGCCAATGGAGCTAGTAACTGTGAACGGACATGACTCATTCCCAAAGGTAATGATCTATAGGTTTGAAACTGCCCCTTTATGTCATCAACACTAAGAAATGGGTCTTCTGGATATTGATTTGTCAGTGACTTGAAGGAGAGAGAATTTTCTTTTTCTCATTCATTTATTTACTTGTAGCACACATTTGTTGAGTGCTGTATGTTAGTACTTGGCTAGGTGCTGGATATATATCAGTTGACAAAACAAATAGGTTATGTGCTCATGGAGCTAAGAGTTTAATTGTAATCACAATTAAAAATTGTGACATGTGCTATGAGAAAAAATTACAGGTACTAATTTAGCATGAGAGTTAGGGAAGAGCTCTCTGAAGAGATGAATTTAAACCAATCTCAAAGATGATAAAAACAACTAGGTGAAGAGTAGCAAATAATGGGACAGTTTTCTGAGCCGGGAGAAGAATACTGTGCAAAACCCAGGGATAGAGAATCAAACAAATGCAAGGCACTGAGAGAAACCATTTTAGCTGGAGCATAGTAGCGAGGTGAGGGGAGGTTGTGGGAAGTGAGGCTGAAGATATCAGGGAAAGATCAATTTGGTTAGTTAGGTATTTTAGACTAAGTTTAATGGGAGACCACGCAGGGATTAAAAGACTCTTTAGGTTACCAGGTAGAGAATACATCAGAAAGGTCAATAATAGGAGATTAATTACGCTATTGTAGGAATGTAGATAGAGTTAATGGTGGCTTAAACTGGAGTTATAGAGAACAAGTGGAGAGAAGTGGATGAAAATATATTCTGTAGGTGGAGCAAACAGTATTTGTAAATGAATTGGATGTTAAGGAAGAGAAAGTGGGAATTATCAAGAATCACCCACAGGTTTCTGATATGAGTGAGTGGGCAGATTGAGATGCCATTTACTAAAATGGGGACTATTAAGAAAGAAACAAGTTATGGAGGGGAAGAGTAAGGTTTCTCTTTAGAAAGATCATGTTAAGTGTGAGGCATCCAAATGGAGATAACATCTGACTTCCTATCTGCTAGGGATTTGAAGCTCAGAAGAGACTAGGATATAAAAAAACTTATAGCAATCTAAAGAAAGGCCAGATATATCAAAACAACACAGAGTGTGGTATCATGGAGCCCAAGAGGAGGCTATTTTATAGGTCAAAAAGATGTAGACCATTGGATCCTTTGGATTGAACAACAATGGAGGTCACCAAAAATCTATTGATGGCTGTGTGGCTGGGATGGTAAGCACACAAGCTATATTAAAATGGGTTGGAAATAGGTACTTCTGTTTCTTGCAATATGTGGGATTAACTATCCTGGAAAATCTTTTTATATAAAGCACTCATAAGTGCTAGATGAAATTTAACAAATCTTTTAAGATGCATAGCTTAGAAAATAAAGGAAATCCTTGGGTGTGGGGAAGGGGGAACCAGAGTAAGTTCTTAGGGAAACAAAAGCACCACCAAAAGATGTACCTTGAAACCTCAGAATCTTAGCTGATTCTGGAGCTATAATTGCCCTGGAGGTATTAGCTATTTTCACAACCATGGAATTTAAGTTTAAACTGCCCCAGAAAGAGACATAGAACCTGAACCTTGGGACCTGAAGAGTTAGGGAGTTGGGAGTAAAATTCCCAAATAAATTTGGAACCCACAAAGAGTGATACCTTGAGTGAAAAATGGAATAGAAAGAATCTGATGCCCAATAAAAGGAGATGACAACATTATTCTCAACTTGGGCCCCAAGTAGGAAGATAGACTCTTCTCTAGAACTGAAAACCACAATTCCTCTCACATGTGTTTGGGATTCAAACACATGTGTTTGGGGTCCTATTGCTTGGATAATCCCTGGATAAGAAATTATAGTGGACACAAATTGGTAGTATATAAAGACAATGGGTTGAAACAAAGTAAATCCTCTTTGGAGAGTCATCCCAAGCATCACCAGAGATGAGTTCACAATCCAGAATTACACATCAGATAATACCAGTTTGAATAAGTCAATAGAGGGCCTCCCTGGTGGCGCAAGAGGTTAAGCACAGCACTGTGAAGCTATCCGCAGCCTCTGCAACATGAGTTGATCCCCAGCCAGTCAGGGAGCTGACGCACATGGTGCAGCAGACCTCTCTGTCTCACCCGCAGCAGCCTCAGCGGTGTATTTCAGTCAGTCTGCCAGTTCTGTTCCCCACTCTGTCTTTGGTGAATCCTCTCACTCCCTGCACCTCTGGCCTATACCCCAGTTCTTGTATGCATAAATAAATAAATCTTTAAAAAAAGAAAAAGAAAATGAATGAGTCAGTAGAAAGCAACAAACTATAGAACCAGATTCTCAGAATATTAGGAATTAGAACCATTTGTTATAGAATAAGTATGTTTAAAATGTTTAATAAAATAAATGGTAGAAAGAAAGCATGAAGAAACAGTGCTTATCAGATTTGGAAAAGGACAAGATAATGCTTCTAGTAATAAAAATGTAAGTAGATACTCAAACTATAGCTTAACTAGCAGACTGAACACAGCTGAAGAGCTAACTATAGAATGGAGAGAGACCTAACATAATCCAAAAAGAACCATGGGTTGGCAGACATGGAAATCAGAAAGTCTATTACGTGTCTACATGAAGAGAATCAAGAAGCTGGTGGAGAGAACATATTCCAATGACAGGCCCGAGAATCTTCTGAAAGTCATGGAATGAAAAGCACAAATATTCCAATTTAGGAATCACAGTGAATCCTGTGTAAGATAAATAATTTATTTACCTCTTGACACCTAGTGGTGGAATTTCAGGACACCAAGGACAGAAGATTTTTGCAGCTGGCAAAAAGAAGTTAGCTGAGCAGCAGCTTAGCCTGACTACAGACTTCTTAATAGGGAACATAGACACTAGACCACAGCAGACATGTTCTTTCCATGCTTTAAGGCCCAGTCACCCAGAATGCAGTCCTAGCTAAATCTCACCCAGGTTTCTAAAGGTTGTGCCTTAGGGCGAAGGCCAATTAAAGATGCTACTGGAAGGGAAGTAGATCTGAGATGTAAGAAGTGGAGGGAGCAGAGAAGTAAATAGGTGGATCTCGATAAACTTATAAAAACAGTAATTACAAGACAGAATCCGGCAGATTACAAACCCAATCGCTCCTCCATTCATTCCCACCCGTCAGGAGACAGCAGCAACCTCTGGAAACTACAACTCCCGTGAGGCCTTGCGCGACACGCAGGCCCCCCCCCCGTGTGCGTGCCGTGCGTGCCGTGCGTGGCAGTTCTAGAACACCGCGGCGAGAGGTCTGGCGCCATGTTGGGGCCGAAGGGACGGCAAAGGAGCGCTTGAAGCGGCGGGAACGGAGCTGGAGCGGGTCGGACCTGGGCTGGTAGGAGACCCGCCCCTCCCGCCTCAGTGGATCATGACCTGGGCAGAGGCCACGGAGGTCACGGCGGCGGGGGACGTGGCGTGGCGGGGCCGGCGCTAGAGATGATGCCGTTTCCGGTGACACCCCAGGGACCACAACAGACCCCGCCGCCGCCCAAGCACTATGGCATCTCCTCCCCTATCAGTTTAGCACCCCCCAAGGAGACTGACTGCATACTTACCCAGAAATTAATTGAAACCCTGAAACCCTTTGGGGTTTTTGAAGAGGAAGAGGAACTGCAGCGCAGGATTTTAATTTTGGAAAAATTAAATAATCTGGTAAAGGAATGGATACGAGAAATCAGTGAAAGCAAGAGTCTTCCACAAGCCGTGATTGAAAATGTTGGAGGGAAAATCTTTACATTTGGTTCTTACAGATTAGGAGTACATACAAAAGGTGCTGATATCGATGCGTTGTGTGTTGCACCAAGACATGTTGATCGAAACGACTTTTTCACCTCGTTCTATGATAAATTAAAACTACATGAGCAAGTGAAAGATTTAAGGGCTGTTGAGGAGGCATTTGTACCAGTTATCAAACTGTGTTTTGATGGGATAGAGATTGATATTTTGTTTGCAAGATTAGCACTGCAGACTATTCCAGAAGATTTGGACCTAAGAGATGACAGTCTGCTTAAAAATTTAGATATTAGATGCATAAGAAGCCTTAATGGTTGCCGAGTAACTGATGAAATTTTACATCTAGTACCAAACATTGACAACTTCAGATTAACTCTGAGAGCGATCAAACTGTGGGCCAAGTGCCACAACATCTATTCCAATATATTAGGTTTCCTAGGAGGTGTTTCCTGGGCTATGCTCGTAGCAAGAACTTGCCAGCTTTACCCAAATGCAGTAGCAGCAACTCTTGTACGTAAATTTTTCTTGGTGTTTTCTGAATGGGAGTGGCCAAACCCAGTACTACTGAAAGAACCTGAAGAAAGGAATCTCAACTTGCCTGTATGGGACCCAAGAGTAAATCCCAGTGATAGGTACCATCTTATGCCTATAATCACGCCAGCATACCCGCAGCAGAATTCCACATACAATGTGTCTGTTTCAACGAGGATGGTCATGATTGAGGAGTTTAAACAAGGGCTTGCGATTACACATGAAATTTTGCTGAGTAAGGCAGAGTGGTCCAAGCTTTTTGAAGCTCCAAGCTTTTTTCAAAAGTACAAGCATTATATTGTACTTCTAGCAAGTGCACCAACAGAGAAACAGCATCTGGAATGGGTGGGCTTGGTGGAATCAAAAATCCGAATACTAGTTGGAAGCTTGGAGAAGAATGAATTTATCACATTGGCACATGTGAATCCTCAGTCATTTCCAGCACCCAAGGAAAGTCCTGACAAGGAAGAGTTTCGTACAATGTGGGTGATTGGTTTAGTGTTAAAAAAGCCAGAGAACTCAGAAGTTCTCAGTATTGATCTCACCTATGATATCCAGTCTTTCACAGATACAGTTTATAGGCAAGCGATAAATAGTAAGATGTTTGAGATGGATATGAAAATTGCTGCAATGCATTTAAAAAGAAAAGAACTTCATCAATTACTACCCAATCATGTGCTTCAGAAAAAGAAAACACATTTAATGGAAGGTGTCAGATTGACAGCTTTGAATGACAGCAGCCTTGACTTGTCTGTAGACAGTGGAAACAGCATGTCTGTACCTTCACCTTCTGGCACTATGAAGGCCAGCCCAATGACTGAAAGCTCTCTGGGCAGAAACAGTCCTGCCCCTGCCTTAATGGAAGCATCTGTGACCAACATAAAATCTACTGAAATTTCCTTGCAACAAGCGAATCCCTGTGAGATCTCTGGGGATACACTGAGTGAAAGCATTCCTCAAACTGCCTCACAACTGGTCATTTCTCCACCACCAAAGCCCACAGTCACCAGAGTTGTTTCTTCAACGCGTCTGGTAAACCATCCACCCAGGCCTTCAGGGAGCACAGCAACAAACGTAGCTAATACTATAGTAGGCGTCTAGAGGACATTCTTAACCTCATAAAGAAGAGGGGACGGAGGAAACCAAACAGAAGAGAAACAGTCTCAGAAACAAAGTACGGCTCAATTAGGAACTATTCAGATGGAGACTTCTCTGTTGGCCTCACAGGAAACATCCAGGGCAGACCTTTCCAGTATCCCTGCTCTCCCTGAAAATCCTATTCCTGTTATCAAGAATTCAATAAAAGATTGAACCGATAAACCATCCTCAAGGGTCCATAAACAATGTCTGCCAACTCAGCCTATTGTCTTCAGATGCTGAAGGAGGAGAATGAAGGGTACCAGACTAGGAGAGTCAAAGGAGATTTTTAGGCTTATTTGCTAACTTCCTTTACTGGGCTAGTCTTGACCAGAAGTCCAGGTTAGTATGTGAAGTTAGAAGTATTTTTTATTAACATCAGATTATTGAGGTGTCATCAACAGTTTATTAACTATTTCAAAGAACTACTGCCCTTAAAGAGAAAAAAGGGCAAAGCCCTCCAGCTAAGTTGTACCCATGACTGACATCTACAATAGACTTATGTTTGCTGCATTGTTGAGAAAAATTTGCAATCAAACTGGTGTAAGAATTCCTCACACTGATGATGCACTTTATGTAGATTTTTCTTAGACAGTAGAGCTAATTTTAGGTTTCTCAGCTTGATGAATTTTAGTTTTTTCTAGAATTTTTTCATTTTTAACCTTTAAATTGGATACTGTTGTGCAGTGGTACTCAGAGAAAGCATGAAAGTACATCTGACAGTCCCTGTGAGGTAGTTGTAACCCTTTAAAATGACACGTCAAGTCTGAGGGTATATATTTGATGTTGAAAAAAAATTAGTAAGTCTTTGGTTTAGAGGGACATGATCAGGAAGTGATACTGGTTTTATCTGTAAAATTGTCTTAGCGTGCATACAGTCAGCTGTCGAACTACATGCAAGGCTTCATATTCTCTTGTCTTCAATCAATCGTTGTGAAACAAAAAGCATCTTGCTGCCCCCTGTTCTTTTTGCTTGTGTGCACACAGTATGCTTAGATGTAGTTTTGATAAAAAAAAAGCAAGAACCCCAGAATTCTAGTGTTTTCTTAACCATGATGTGACACCAGCAATCCTGTGGCCACATGGCATGAAACACTACATTTTGCTTCCATGGCTAATATTTTAGTAAAAATTTACTAAAATTAATGGTTGTGAAATATGTTACCAGTCTTGGATCTCCACTTAGAGAAATTTTGTATTCTGCACAGTATGCTTGTATTGTAAAGTGAATTTCCAATGTAAACATCTTAAAAAAAGATATTTTCTCTAAGAATTTTAAGCCAAATTTATTTTTAAATGACATTTAGATGAGGAAATTACCAAAATTTACATAGAGAAAGAAAAAATTTCTAGCAAGCATTTGCTATCTTTAGTCACCTTTTGGCCTACAGAGAGATTAGGAATACCTTTCTTTAAGTTAAAAAAAAAAAAAGACTGCTCATAATTAAGCAGAACATCCATGTTTAGGAAACACAAGTGACAACAGTTTTAGATGAATGAAAATTGTCTTAATCTAGACACAGTGAACCCAGCAGGCTTTCCATTTAGCCTGGTTTTGATTCCTCCCTGCCACGCCCCCCCCCCCGCCGCCCCAGTGTGGTTCCTTTCTACCATGTGTGTTTTTCCATGTTTAGCTGTGATTCCTTAAACTTTATCCCAATCTTTCTAGATTAATTTTCTGAAGTTGGAATATAGTCTTTTTCCTTTTAGGCCATACAGCAATTGGGCTTTCTTTTCACCATTACTTTCTGATGTCTAGTACACAAGTTCACATTGCCCACATCTTTGCCTTATGCAGTCACCTTGCCCTTCCACCACAATCATAAATAGCTGAAGTGTGCACGGTACCCATGTATTTTGAATAGCTGTGGTGTCAGATTGAAATTGCCAGGCACAAACTTAGTCTTGTCATTTTTTTACCCATTGGAAAAATTAGTTTATTAAATGTTTTGTGTAACTACTTGCTTTTCCAAGCTGGAAACTTGGGCCTTTTTAGTTCTAGTTTTCATTACCTGAATATTAGACTTTTTTTCATGTGCTGTATGTAGAGTTTTGTGACTGAAGTTTGCTTTGTTTCATAGTGTCTGTACTCCCTGTATTTTTCAAATGCTGTTTGGAAAACAGATGATGTATTTCTCCATTAAATACACAATAAACAGCAAAGATGTAAGCAAAAGGGTTTAAATCTGATGAGAGTTCAGGTATTCTCACATTGTTTGGAGAGGATAAAGATCCTGATGTGCTTTGACTTTATTAAGTCTAGAATTCACGTTATAATCATTGTGAAATGTGAAAAGGTTAAAAATAAAACAATAAGTGTAAAAAATGGAGTTAAATATTCATAATCTGAAAAGACAGGAAAGAAAGGGGAAACAAAGAAAAATTGAATAAGAAAGTACAAAAAGTTGGCAAAAATGAAACCAAATACATATCTCACTATATATAATGGACCAAACTTCCTGACTGAGATGGTCAGATTCCATGGAAAAATTAAGTGTAGCTGTTTGCTATTTTATTTATGAGACACACGCCCAAAATGTAAGACAAAAAAATGGAGAAAAGATACGCTGACAAACAGAAGGTGTTATAGTAACAATATCATCCAAACAATTCAAAACAAAAATAATTACCAAGAACAAAAGGGACATTGCATTAATGATAGGAGAAATAATGTGCCAGAAAACGAACAATGTAACACTTTTTTGCACCTAATAAATTGGTGTCAGCATAAAATAGCAGAAATTGCCAGAAGTATCATTGTCGTAGATTTTAAAACGGCACTTATGCAATGTCAAGCAGACAGAAAATAGAAGGAAAACAGTTTGAATACAACAGAGGTTGGGCCAGAGTATCTTCAGTTTGGTGAGGCCATACGGTCTGTGTCTCAGCCTTTACTTAGCTCTGCATTTAAGGAGTAAAAGCAGCCTTAGACAGTAAGTTAACAGATGGCCAGGCTGGATTTGTCACCCATCCCCTGCAGCCATTGTTCATCATTGGTGATCTACTGGACATTTATTATAGCACCTGCCACCCAATATTTATAAAACGCATATTCCCAAATAAGCATTGGGCATATACAAACATTAGCCTCAAGCTATGTCAGAAAGATAACATTTCGTAGAACATGTTCCAACTAAAGAACTGCAAGAAATCAGTAACAGATAGCTTGGGAGGAATTTCCTAAAGAAAACACAAAACTCAAACCATAAAAGATACTGATTAATAAAATCTCTTAATCATACCAAATAATAAACAGTGGAAAACAGGCCATAAGCGAGAAGATTTCATAATAAAGCTGACAAATGATTGCTATCCAGAATATATTAAGGATGCCAAAAAAAGTCTTAAAAAGTCAAACAATCTAATAAACAGACAAAAGGAATGCATAGCATTTACAGCAGAGGAACAGGAATTGCCAACAAACATGAAAATCTGTGCAACCTTTTTAGTAGTAAGGAATATGAATTAAGACCAGAGATAATTTTTACAAAAATAAAGTCTAAACACTCAAGCTTGGTAAGGATGAGGAGCTTTGGGAACTCGAATACAGTGCTCACGAGAGAGCCACTTGTTTTGGTCCTGTTGGGAGACAGTTTGATCATAGCATACATACAATATGGTTGACATACCCATACGCTGTATTTCTTTTATAGCTCACCAGTCTATACACCATACTGTGGGACACTGATATTTTCATCATACCGGTCCCCTCAGATCTCAAGGTAGTCGGTCTGTTGGCCATCTCTGCCACTATGTCCACAATTCTGCATAGCCACTAGATTGCCTCTAGTGGGCCATGTAAATGTTCTATATATGCTGTGGTGTCAGAAAAGTCGGGAAGCACACCCCTAAGGACTCTGCCGCCTGGGTAACCAGAAGGTGAGTTTAGGAATATTGCAGTATTTTGTAATAGCCTAAAGTTTGAACTAACTCACATCCACAAATGGGGGAATGAATCAACGGTGGTATATCCATGCAATGAACAATATACAGCAATGAGATTAAATGAAACAGCCACATGCATTGATGTAGATGTGTCACTGTGTTGAGGAAAAAAAGAAAATTGCAGAGAAATACAGAGTGATAATTTATATCAGAGTAGAAAACAAGCAAAAGAGGGCAGTATAATTTAGGCTTACAAAAATGTGTGCTATAATTACAAAGAAAAATAAGGGTTGTTAAACACAGGATTCAGAAACATGGCTGGGATTAAAAATTCCTAAGAGTGTGGGTAAGAGGTGGGTGAGAAGTGGGAGAAGGTAGGACGGTGCAGCTGAGCAAAGTACCCAGTGAGACAGGTGATGTTCCACTACTAGGTCAGGTGGATGATGAATTGGTGTTTACTGTTAAAGTTGTAAGTAATTTCCTCTGTGTGAAATATTTTATATTTAAAACACCAATACCAAAAATTTCCTTACCAGTTAGAAACTGCATTTGTCCAGATAATGGTAGCTAAAGACAATTCAGGCTTATTTTCTTTCACATAACAGGAAATTCAGGGCTGATAGGGTGGCTCTCCACTCTCAGCCTCACCATTGTAGTTCATACTTTGCATCCTAAAGTCACCTCAGTGTGCAGGGTGATGGCAGGGCACTGCCATCACATCTTCATTTAAGGCAAGGAGGGCAGGGCAGGGAGAAAAGGAGAGGCAAACTGTATCCTCTTTTTATGGAGCTTTCCTACAAGTCCCAACAGTAACATTCCGTCATCTTTCACTGACTATTAGTCATATGGCTAGCTATGTCCACCTGCAAGGGAGACTGGGAAATGTTGTTTTTAGTAGCTGGACACATTGCTGTATCATTTCTCACCACTACACTATAAGGAAGAAGGGGAGGATGGATATTGAAAGGCAGTGGTAGAGTCTTATATGGGATACATGTTTATAAAAAAGTTCACGTGTTCACATGTTATGAATGTGAATCAGATCTAAAGAAATGAAAAGTGCAATTTGTGAGATGCAACTACTGTAGTATTTAAAAGGAGGGTCATATCCATGAATATTTAACATCATAATAGAAAATAATAAAGAATGAAATTGATGAGTTTCCTTCTCACATAATTAGGTAAAAAAATATAATAAATCCAATGAGAGAAGACATAGAACAGAAAGTAAAGAAATAGAAAATAAACATGCTGTGGAGAGGATCAATAAACTCAAAAGTAGACTCTGAAAAGACTAATAAAATAGTCAAAACTGAAAAGATTGAGAAGCAAAATCAAGATGGTACACTTAAGTAATCTTGGGAACTTTAAAAGGTAGGTATCGCTACAATGACAGTACATATTAAGGGAAAAAAAGATCTTGTCCTTAAACCAGTAAATTTGAAAACTTAGATGAAGTAGTAAAAGATAATCTACCAAAACTCACCTAAGAGAAATAGAAAACCTGAACAGACTTATAATTTTGAAAGAAATTGCATGAGTTATTTGAAAATGTGCTCATCAAAACAAAACAAAATACCTCTGTAAAAACATAAGACCCAGAAGGCTATACAGACCAATCCTTCCAAATATTCAAGGACAAGATCACTCCAGTATTATACATCAGGTTATCCCAGAGAAGAGAAAAAGAAACATTTTTTGAAACTAAAACATCAAAAACAGAGAAGCATAAAAATGATCAGCCAGATACACGTATGAATATGGATATGAAAATCAAACTTAAACCAAAAATGTATATAAAAAGACATCATGGCCCAGTTGGATGAATCTGGTGTGCTAGATGATTTAACATCTGAAATGCTGGCAGTTGGCAGGGGGCCTCAGCTCCTCTCCTGCTGGTTGACTGTCCTCACAACATGGCAGCCAGTTAACCAGCAGTTTCTTAGCGTCCTGAGCGTGCAAGGCGCAGACCAGTGTCTTACATGATCTCCCCAAGCAAGTCACATTCCCACCTCTATTGTGGGAGGGAACTACCAAAGGGCCTGAATACCAGCATTCAGGGATTATTAGGGACCATCTTGGAGAATGACTTCCCCTTTGATCAACAGGACAAAGGGGCATATTTTAATGTATTACAGTGGGATGCCATCTTGCAATGTAAAGGAACAAACTGGAGATACACGTGGCAAATGGATGTATTCTATTAACATGATGCTGAGTGGAAGAAAAAACTGGGTAAGGCCACATACCACATGATACTGTTTCTTCAAAGTTTAAAAAAAATGAGAAATGAAAAATGTGTTTCACAGAAGCTTAATATCTCTGCCATATTTAATATATGATAAAAATAGAGATACATACATGGGAATTATGCCCCAAATCTGCACACTTATTTCTGGATAGGAGAGACAAATGTTCACTCATATGTTTACTCGTCTTTACTCTAGGTATTGAGTACATTCTTGCTCATTATTTTGCCCTTTTTTTTTGAAAGTATGCCTGAAATGTTTCCTAGTTGTATAGGAGGATGAGAGCAGAAAAGAGAGTAGGAAGCATGTGTATAAATGAGTTTTTGGCTATCGAGTGGAGGGGAAGGAGAGGCTTGTAAGCTCATGGCTGTGGGGGAGGCATGACTGGGGAAAACCAGAGCTCGCTGGGATGCCTTTGGGGAGCTCCACTGCACTGGGAAGTCAGGGAGAGGGGGCCCACCTACTCAGGGAGCATGTTTCTCGCCCTCCCCCGAATATAGACATAATTTATGTTCATCATGAAGGATTTGAACTACACATAGAAAGAGAAAAGAAAGGTTACTGAAGTCCTGGCTCCCGTTGCACAAAACATACAACACTGTAACAGAGTTAGAAAGCAAACACCCGATAACCTCACTGGGTCACGAAATAGATCACAAACAGCGGTGTTTACGCTTTCCATGAATCCCTCTTCAGCCTCCGCGGTCTCTTTCTTATATCTATATAAGCTGATATACTCTCTTGGTAACAACAATGCCTTGCTTTTCTACATACCATGTATGTATACAGTCAGAACAATTTTGCCCAATTTTGAACTTCACATGAATGAAACACATCAAATGCTATGTATTTGTGTGTGTGTGTGTGTGTGCCTTTTCTCTCTCAATTTATTTGTGGTTCATTCATGTTGTTGCTTGTCCCTATCACGTTCTTTCATTGCTGGGGCCTATCACATGACATGACTATATCCCTGCTTCCTCTCTACTGTTGGATATTTTGGTTGTTTCAAGTCTTGGGCTGTCCAGTTTTGGGGGTGCATGTGTTGTTGTGTAATCTGTGTCTACTCATTACAGTGTTGACTAGTTTGTCCCCGCTGGTTCTTAGGGCTCTGTTTCTTGTGGGCTGCTCCGTTCTTTTAACTGAGTGTTCTCAGGGTTAGTCCTACTAAATGCCCTTGAAAAATTCAAGGTTTTTAAACTGAAACTAAGTTTGAGGTTTTGTAGACTGCCCAGGTCACATATAAATTTGATTACAGCTTTTCAAGGACTCCTTTCCTTTTTCTTCTCCCTTCCTGCCCATTTTGATTAGTGCCAGGCAGCTCTTCCCACAATCCCCTGGGGTCCTTGGGGACTTGCAGCTGACTCACTTTCTCTCCATCCTAAATGGGGAGGGTCTCTTTTAGGCTCTCCCAAGGGATGAGCCCAGGGCTTTGATTCCTGTCAGCACTACTCTTTCTCTTCCCCGGAAACTGGCGTGTTTTCAGGACACAAGTGCTCACTGCCTGCCGATCTCTGGGTTCTCAATCTGCCTCCAGCTTGGGCCCAGCACTCTTTCTCTGCTGTTTGTGCCCCACCCTCACTGGCTTTAGTTGTCTCAGTGGTAATGTCCTTGTCCAAAATCAACTGATTACTCCTGATGAGTCTGCTGTATTGTAGGAGATGAACACCTCTCTAATGTTAACACATTGATATTGAATTTTACATAAAGGACAAAATGTTTTAAACCACGAAATCTGCTTCCTCTGGCTAGTGCCTCCCTTATTTCGATTCCTCTTGATATATTAACAACCTTATATGTACCTGTATTGA